TAGATAGTTCTGCTCTTTTTAGAGAACAAAATAGATGTTGTACATTCTGATCCTGTTTAAAGACTCGTGTCAGAGCACACTGTGGTCTTAAGTTGTAAACAGCTGCGAGGCTAGTTTATTTGTATATCACCAGTCCCACAGAGTGTTATTTAAAGGAGCTATGCTGACAAAGAAAGGAAGAAATTTGATGAAAACTGCAATAAGCTGCAGTGAAAAGCGACGTTTGCAGCTGGGATTTTAAAAAGTCAACGTTTTCTGCACAACATAGGTTTTCCAGCTGTAAACTCCAGAGCTGAGAAGCGTAAAAATGTAATGCTCCCTACCTACCTGTTTATGTCCTAAGAACACAGATTGAATAGGTATCATTTTGATGGGCCTACGTGACTCGATACACAACCAACAATTTAGCCTATGAAGTGACACCCTTATTATGTCTAATTCGTTGCTGAACTTTGATCTTGGGCAAAAATATCACTTTTAACTTGTTTAAGTTGTCACTGCATTTCCATTACAAATGTGCACAAAACTATGTTGTTATTCTGCTGATTTTGTAAATGCAAAGTTTCCACAATTGCAGTATTTCCAGTAAAAAAGAAATACAAATAGATTTGCATATGAATATGTTTGGTGACGCAATAACTCTAGAAAAAAAGAAAAACAGCATTGTGGCAGGGTATATAAACACAAGAAATATATCCATATTTCAGCCATGGCTTTGCAGCTCATCATCATTGACGAGAACTAAATCTAAACAAGTCTCCTCATGAATCCCCATGCATTCTTTCTTTGACTTTTTACATGGCTTTAAGGTCCAGCTGCAGATCATGTGACTTGTGCGATGTTTTGCAATTTTGTAAAATACAAGAATTTGGATATGACCGAAAAGCCACCTGTCGGAAACATAAAAAGTTCTTGTTGAAAGTATTTTTTCACACATTGTGTTAGCATCTGTTAGCATTTTTTGGCTAACAGAAATGTAACTGATCAATTGTAGATTTGCATGTAATCAGCATTGATGTTGGGAGAAATCTTGTAGTTCTCCATAATCTGAGCTTTGGGATTATATAGATATTAAATGAAGGTATGACGAGGATGGAGCCTTTAGGAATCCCGAATGCAAATTTTTCTATTATTCAGATTTATGATTGACACATGACAGCCCATTTGCCAAAATAGATATGAATCGGTTTAGGTTAGATGGATGAACTGACTGCACTGAAACTGTTTTCAGGTGGACGTTCTCACAACATTAGAACTATCAACGTGCATCAGACCCACTTTTTCCACCGCGCAGCCAGAGCAGCAAAGATTCTTCAGCCGCTCATCAGAACTAAACTTGTATAAGCATCAAAAATGAAGCAGCACGCACGTTTCTGCTGCTCTTGCTTCGTTAGGTGTGAACGTAGCATAACAGTGGCTATTGGGGGGTCGATTTGTCAATGTGTCAGGATTACGCGCACAATGGGGAGGGACAAGCAGACGACCATGATTGACGTGACATGGAACCAATCGTGTACACTGGACCGCCCTTTGTGATTGGTTGGGTTTATTTATTGATTTCTCACTGTAGCGGGGACCATTTATTGTAGTTTTACTTCTAGACCTTTTATTTCACTGCTTGCTAAGAGGCTGTGGGGAGATCTTTGAGCCACATGGTAAAAAATGCGTCAGAAAAGATCTCCTACTGCACCTTTAAGTGAAATGCTAATAATATGTTTGCAATTTATTTTAAGACACAAATGCAGTCTTAGTGCTTTGCGCAGGAACTGGACAGGATTAAATAGGCCATTTCTCTGATCAAAAACTAGATAATGGTTAGATAATTACTCATTATAGAGCAAGTCTTATTTTCTCTTCTTTTAAAAAAGTGAAGTTTCATTCATCCGCCGTGAGTAACCCCTTTATTTCCTATTGATTTGTACCATGAATTTTTGGCCTTGTGATTTATGTCAACCTTCAAGGGTTGGTAATTCATCTGCTGTAAATTAAAGGGTATGCAAACTAGTCCCTCATCTTTTATGTGTGTGTGCCTGAAGATAGGTGTAAATTTTCACTCTTATCATCTTAGAAACTGCAGGTTTATGATTCATAGGGACTGCAAGTGTTATTCAGTGTTTCACATGTGTGTGTTTGTGTGTGTCCCACATGCATGTCAGCACTCGTCTATTGTACCGAAAGCAATTATGTGTAAGTTATGTGTGCAGTGGGGGATTGAAAAAGGGGGATTTTTTTTCTTAAACACAGAGGGGTTGATAATTACGGGTTAAATGAGTGAGCTCAGTCAGCCTCTGAGTGTGTGTGTTTAAAAAAAGGAAGGCACAGCAAAAGCCACTTCAAGGAGGACTAATTACCCCAAGGAAGAGAGGAAACATAAATGGACGATTTTGTGGCTATAATGTTACAGCAAAACGGCTTCAGCAACCTCAGCACGTGAAGTGGAGCCACAGCAGATGTGTGTGTGCACGCGTTGCATCCTTCTTGCAACATATGCCGAGAAGCTGAAAGTGTGCAAGAAATTCAACTTCTTTCATATTCTGTGGTTTGTGTCTTTGAATAATGATGTTGGTGCAGGGATATTTAATTTCTAACTCATCACACGGTTTCACATGTAGTGTGAGTGTACGTTTAAAAACTTTGTCCACTCATGTTTGCGTTTACTCTCCTGAGCATTATTTGCTTTGGATGAGGTTTATGATTTTAATGTCGCTTAGCATTTACCGTCACACCATCTGCTGATGCAAACTGCGCAGTTTTTGGGATTTTCCCTGCAAAATGTCAGTAGTTCTGCTAAAAAAGATCTAGTAGAAATATCTTTTTTTTCTTCTTCTTATCTGGATGGGATAGGTAATAAATGCAAATGAAGGTTTTCAAATGTATGTCAGAGGGAAATGCTGTGGCATGATTGTTGAGCTGGATGCATTGTATTGAAACACAGAAAAAATGGTTTGAAAAATAAGAAGAACATTTTTTTAATGTTTTACTTAAATGTGTTTTTTTTCCTTGAAGAATTATTTTTTTTATTTGGTTCTCAAAAATGTTTTTCATATTTTTAGTTTGATATTTTAATTGTTTTCTTTATTTCAGCACTATTTGTAACTGCTGGCAACTTAGGGAAATTTAAATAAGAAAACATGTCAGAATTATATGTAAAATATGTTCAGATCAGTTAGTTCATTTATACAGTCTGTATAAAGCACTGGGCCAAAACTAAAATAAATGTAAAGTAATGCAACAAAATAAATGAAAAAAACAACTCTAGAAAAGGGTAAAAAAAACAAATGCTGCACCAGCAATACATACTATGGAAGAAAAATTTAAATAAGTTTCATTAAATTCATTTTAGTGTTGATTCAAGGCACATGCAGAACTTTACTTATTCAATCCAATTAAATCATACAAAGATTTGTTAAAGAAATCTGGCAATATGCTTTGCACTGACTTTGCTCTTTATTTATATAAAGGTGACCACTAAGCTACCTTTTATGAGCAATGTATCCCTTATTGGGCTTCATCTTTAGCTTTTAACGATGTGGAACAGGAGCACATGTCCTCACGTTGTCTTTTCTTGCTAGAATCTTTGCATCTTTTTTAGATTCTTCCCCCCATCTTATCAAATCGTATAAACCCCCGCTACGTTTTGCTCCCTCTCGCACACTTCTTCTGCCCAGCACAAGAGGCAGCACGTTTTGTTTTCACGTGTATCAACATTAAAAGCGGTTTAGCGGTTTGATCTTGGCCTGCAGACCGTTCCTTGTGTGGCATACACATGAGGGTCTTTCTCTATGCTTGTGTGTTTGGTCAGAGTAAGACTTTAAGATACTGATGGATAGTGTGCGTGTGCATGTGTATGTGTGAGTTAATATGGAGTACAGCGTGTGGAAGCTCTGCCTTAAAGTGATAAGGTATTCACTTTGTAACTCAGCAGGAGGCCCAGCAGGTTGCACCAAGATCTTCCTCTCTGTAGTGCTGCTTAATGCAAATGGACCTGCATGCACACAAATCTGTCCATCTCCGATTACAGAACACGTTTTCAGGAAAAAATTTTCATGTACATAAAAATCCCCATTTTTCCCAAGACGTTCAGGAGCTAAACAAAACTTTTGGAACCGTTTTCACCTATTCATACTCATATTGTCATTCACAAACATATTTGCTCTCGAACAGAAACATGCATGTTTATGGTTGCAAAGAAACAATGACCCAAGCTTACAAAAACACTCACACCGCAAAGTCCAAACTGAGTCTAAGCCTGCGCGGCCTGGATGCCTCCAACATTGTAAACCGCTGCGACATATCGGATGTCGGCCACCATGCCGAGAGCATTAGCAATAACCGGATTTCACATAACTTATTGAGAGCCATTTGTAAACAGAAACATGAAAGCAAAGTAGCGTTGCACGCAGCCTCACTTGATCATCAAAGGCTATCGATCGAACGGTCCTCCTCCTCCTCCCTTTTCTCCTCCTCTTCCATGCTCCTTGAAAACCAGCAGATGTGAAGTACAGCCCTTTAGTTTTTCTTCCAAACCATGTTTAAAATATCCACCTTTTTCTTTTAGTCTTACATATGTGTGTGTGTGGTTTGTTGTGGGTTCCTTTATCTTTTATCTTATGCAAATGTCCCTACTGCCCTGGTGTGTTTAAATTCTTAAAATGCAGAATATCTATAAGTTGGGGTTTTGGTTGTCCTGTATAGATTTCTAGTTGTGAAACTGAGATTTTCTGAACCTTTTCAAGTCTGTATCTTCTTGCATCATGTAAAACCTGTTTCAAGGAAATAGCAAACACTCGTACAGAGGATTGTGATGTTTCATTAATCATTTAATGTGTGCATTTGTACATTTACACTACAATTTTTAATTGGAAGTTAGATACATACTTTTTTGCAATTATGAATCAATTATTGTAATTTTTTTGGTCGCAAACCTTGTTTTCAGACGTCTAAAGTTTTTCTTAAATTTGAAATCTAACGGATTCTATGTTGCTGTGTCTCTTCTACAGTCGAACAAAGTGTCAGTGGTCCAGCAGTCCCATGGGATGCACCCCCTGACGTCCCTGCTGCCCTACAGCAATGACCACTTCAGCCCCAGTCCTCCACACCTGCCCACAGACATGAGCCAGAAGACAGGTAGGAGCACACCGACCAACACATATGCAGGTCTGTGCACTTTTTTCAATCTGACTCAAATCTCTATATTATTATTTTTGTGGAGCCAGGATTTCTTTTATATTTTAAAGTCACCCTTTTCAGTAGTTTTGTAGATTTCCTGAAGGTCTTTTAAAGGTTGCTGCTTTTTTAAATCCTCCTACCTATAACAACATGGCAATAGTTTAATAGTGAAGATAATCTAAAGAATGTTTTCCACAACCTACTGAGTGTTTTTATCACATATTCACTCATTAATCTTTTTTTTTGATTGCTTTTAAATTTTCTTTTTCTTTTTATTTGTGAACGTTTTACATTTTTGTATATTGTCTTAAATAGTTTTTATATGAACTAGTTGTGCATTTTGCTATTAGATATATCAGGAACAACCTTTCTTCTTCTACTAAACTTTGGATACTTTTTTCGTTATCAGTCTTTTAATCTTTGAATGATTCTTGATTGCATTTAACCATCTCTGGTTTAAAATATAATTTAATTGATCATACCTAAATGTTTATCATTATTATTAGTATTTAAAAATATTTTGGGATTAATAAAACCTTTATTCGGATTAAGGAAATCCTGAAACTATAATATTTTTTCTTTTTATTGGTAAGTATTAGAATCATCTTAGAAGTCAAATGTACAGCTAAATTGACCTCTTGAGCAGGAGAAATGAAAGTGTTTTAACAATCCCTGCAGTCTAAATGTTTCTCAAGGCTCCATCCTTGAGACTCTTGTGTTGATTCATCGCTCAAACTTAAATCTGGTGCATCAACAATATCTGATTCAATTTGAAACTCAGTTCATATATGCTGCAAAGTATTGTAAATGTACAGGTAAAATTTCTCAGGATCAGATTGATGACAGCATTACCCTATGTGAAGGTGAAGATGCCCAAATCAAAAGTCAGGCCTTCCATTGCTTAAAAATCACCCCTACATCTGCCCTATTTTAAAACAGCTAAATAAAAATAAAGCAAAATGGGAGGTAAGCAAAACAAGATGCTGGTAATTAATATTCAGCGAGCTAAAGTAAGAAATATGTAGCTAAGATCACAAGGCTTCACCTTTTAGTTCAGATTGCCTTTAAAAAGTCCTGCATACCTTCCAGGACATTTGGTCCTTGTTCCATCAGTGATTCATGCCTAGAGTTCCCTAAATCCTGACTTTAAAATTTATTTATTTGCTGATTTTTCTGGAAAAACTACTGACAGCACTAATGTATGTGTTGGGTTTAGGAACATTTTTATACCCAAGTGAATTGCTCAGTGTTAGACGGCTTAATGCAGCAATTTTTTATTTTTTATTTTCAACAAACAGCTAATGAATTGACAGAAGATGAGACGAAAGGGAAAACATTTAGACAATCCTGAAAGCTTACATGAAAGTATGGCTCCTTAAAAGAAGATTTAAAGAAACAGGGACTATTTTAAATCCACACAGACCTGTAAACAAGTAGACAAGACCTGTGACTACGCATACCCTGGGAGAGACATGCTAGATACAGCTGCTGGATTGTTCCACGCACACTCTGTTTGTGTTGTTAACAAATTATTCATCACATCTGCTAAAAGGTTTAAGCACGCACAAAGATTCAAGTGCTGTGTCATTTTACCAGATGTGAACACACACACATGATGTCAGATAACAAATGGATTGACTCCATGTACCTCTTTCACAAACACACGCAACACACACTCACATTCTTAGACGGCCTCACAGTGTGTGAAGGGGGCAATCCCACAGCAGCTCTGAAGTGGCCTGCTCTTCTGAAGGGACTGCCAACCACACAGACACACATGCACACAAAGATGGAAACAATTAGGGTGACAATCGCACAAACCATCACAGCAGCTCACACAAGGTTCTCTTTAGCAAATACTGCATGCAAACACACACTGTACTCTGGAAGACACTAGAAAACACACCCTGATCTTTAAACACCACTGTAGTTTTGCCCTCCCGCAGGCTTTAGGGAGCATTAGCGGTTAAATGTAATGATTTTTTATTTTAATTTTGACATTCATTCTTAAGTCATCCGTATGAACATCCTGTAAAGATTAACATCCACAATCCAAACTGGGTCAGATCTTAATGTGTCCAAAGCTGAACACCCTATGTTCTCTGTGACAGCAGAATACAGTAACTTCGGTCCTGTGTACAGCTGAAGATTGTTTCATATAATGAAGCATATCAGAGAGCAGGAAAAAGAAAGCACCACCCAGAGGGATCGGAATGATTGAAGAAGTGAGTTGGTACATTTCCAGTGAAATGAAACTAAGACATCACTTTTATAGTTAGCCTTGATTTGATTCGATCCTGTGGTTTCTTGAAATAACCGCCCTGCTGATGGTACTTTCTGATATCACTACCACAGTCTCTTAGACACGTTATCCTCTACAAACAATGAAGTTTAATGGAAATGAAAGAAATCGTGTTCATAGGTTAAATATAAAGTATAGGAGCAATATCATTGTTGAATGTTATGTTCATTTGAATTTCTGCATTATGTTCCCAACATCTCTCACTGAAATTAAATCAGGTTGGGCTTCAACTAACGATTATTTTGGAAATCGATTTATTTGTCGATAATTTTTTTTGGTTAATTTATTAATAATCGGGTAACCAAAGATTCCTTAAAGAAGACTTTTTACAAAATTAAACCAGGTGAATCTAAAACTTTTCCACTTGAAGAGTTCTGGATAGAGCATATTGACAGACACTTTTTTTTTTACCTAAATGCAAAATGTCTTAGTAAAATTACTGCTCTAAGTGTGTTGCTCTGTCAGCTTAAGGCATGTTTTAGAGTTTCTATACTCCAGTTAACGGTTAATCGATTACTACGTTTGTTGAAGATTATTTCAATAATCAATTAATCACGATTAGACTGATTAATTGTTTCAGCCCTAATATCAGGTTGAGTCATTCAGTGGAGAGTTTACAATATTTTTCTTGGTTAAATCACAAACTACCTTGCGATTTATTTGGATAATGTGATGGACCAACTCATAATGGTAGTTAGTGGCATTTAAAGTGTCCTGCAGTGAAAACAATCACCTTTACAAATGATTAGATTGGCAAATAGGCTCCAAAATAATAACAATTTAATCTCAGCATGAATACAGATATTTTGTGTTAGTCTCTGAGGTTTCTTAGTGAAGAGAGACAGTAAGTGGAAAAAACGGCATCATGAATAGACAATAACCACCAAGAAACATGGGCAGTTCTGGGAAACAACCAGTTAGAGCAGGGGTCTGTAACCTGAGGTTCCAGAGCCGCATGTGGCCCTTTGGAGCTTCTACAAAGGCTCTTAATAGAGGCTACAAAGAACTAAATAATGTACTATTATAACAAATCCAGTTTGACAGCAGAATGACATTAAGAGCACATGAAATATGTTTTTAGAGCCTTTTTTTCTATTGTTTGGAAATTATGCGATTTACTATTATCATATTTTTTGCATCAAATTATACTCTAATATTAGTAACACCACGCTTCAGCTTTATGAATAATTTTATGTTTTTCCTTGTTTCCAAAGCTAACCATACAAATAAGCTGCTGGTTGTTTAAGATGGCAACAGATTTCCTATGGCAGATATTTCAGAAAAATAATAGGTTGTGTTATAATAAAAATCATGTCATATTTTGTAGCTCTTAATGACTTTTATTCAGCCGGACCCAAAATGGCTCTTTGGATATGAAAGCTTTCTTAAAATACTTGGGACTGTTGTAGATGTTTTCCTTCCCAGAGGACAATAAAACAGTTATAATAAAGGGGTTAAGATCAAAGCATGTATTAGTTCAAATGGCCCTGTCTAAGGAGAATTTTTCTGCCATACAAAAATATTTATTGAAGTATGTGTTTGTAATATTAGAAAGCTTAGATGCTGTTAATACTTCTACAGCAGTAATAGCTCTCTAGCACACTAATAAAGAAATTACCGAGCATTTTTTTCCAGAAAACAGATACAGAGTCAGTCAGACGAAGTGAGAAGAAAGACAGTATTGTGCTGGCGTGATCAGTCGTTAAAACAGAGAGACCTGCGGTAATCTTCCGACTGCTCCGTCTGGAAATCCCCCTTTTCTCCTACAAACAAATGCTCCTTGTCTGGTCTAGACTTTGTGTGTGTACGTCCATAACTGACGGTGGATCCATGACTCAGCTCTTAATGACAGACCGTGCCACCTGCTTCTACCTCACACATCCACAAACACCTGGCTGCTGCTGCTGCATCCAGTCTTTCTTCTAACATTTAATGCATGGGGAGGGGTCGCACAAATCCTCACTCACCCTACCTCATTCCTGCCATTCATCAGCTGATCACTGCCATGGGTTGCCTCAGCAGTGAGGTCATTTTTGTTATCACACCTGTACTTTTATTACCCAGTTCAGGGAGGATTGAGGGATGTCTTTACCTGTTAACAAATTCAGAAGACTGCAGTAAAGGAGTATGGACCAATTCCATGTGGAATAGTTGACCCCAACCCTTAATGACAGGAATGCAATGAAATCCGCCTCTAAGGTCTGATTGTTGACAATTAAATTTATTTATTAAAAACCCTAAACATATATCATAATTGAAAAAAAGTTACCTCATTTATACACGGTATATTTACCTGATTACATAAAACAAATTAATATTTTTAACACAGTTTTTTTTCTCTGGTCCAAATATTTCAGATTTCTGCAACAGCTGATATCATTTATAGAAATTAGCATCTGTTTATTTCTTATTGACTTTATTGTTTCCTTTACATAGAGTTACTGTAGACTTCACACTGATCATCCAATGGCAGAGTCTGGCTACTGCCAAGTTGTTTGTGAGACTATGTCACCCAGCTGGTCATTTCAGACATTTGTGCAGTCAAACATAAACACCACACGTGATTCAAAACGCAAACGTCTTCCCACTCAATCAAGCACCCTCACATTGCATCGTTTGGTTATGATTGGAGATTGGACAATAATTTAGAAAATACAGAGTGAAAAAGCAGAAGTGAAACACGTCT